ATATGGGGGGTTAGTTGGAGATTCCAATATGACAGGGCAGATGATCAGAGGGTTTAATAGATAATCTCCTAGTAGGTTATAGGTACAGCATCTAGTTTAGAACCTTAGGATGAACTACTTTAATAGGCAACCAAAAGTTACATGTGTGACTAGCTGTACTCTCATCTCTGTAAAAATAGTTGTTATAGCTAACCCAATATAAAGTTAATAAAGTATTGCCACAAGTATGGCCTTAAAAAAAAAAAAAAAAAACTTTTCACTAATAATTTTAACCTAATATTCATTTAATACTCTATCTTATTCTTTTATAACTACATCACCCTATCTGGCAATAGTATTTCCATCTTCATATATATTCTCAACAATATTATTAAGGATGCTAGTTGCAATAACAAACAGCTCTGGCTTTTGTCTCAGGATATGAGCAAAGAATATTACTCTGTAAACTTTGATCTTTTTACTAAGTCCTTCAAACATATATCAATGCCCTAACCACTTATTAATATACTCATTAATCTCCTTACTAATTGCCAAAACTATGTTATATCAAAGCTTGAACTTACTGATCACTATTTAGTTAAAAATAGTATAGACCAAAAAGAAACTATAACTTCCTTATTTTAGAGAATCTACTATGACCCCTTAATCAATAGAATAGCATTATAATTTTTAGAATACTTTTTGTCTACATCCTGGAAAACTAACTTATACTAACCTAAACTCAATACTTAAAAACATCTGTATCAGTTTTAGTCTACATAAATAACACTCTTTGAATTGCAAAATCCAAAGATGAACTTAACCTAATAACCAAAACTGTTATTTCCTTTTACCATATAATTAATATTCAAATTAATCCAACTAAGTCTATCCTAGCTACAAATTCTTCTACTTCCTCTTTGTGGTGTTACAAAAAATGTTGTAATAAATTAAATAGTATGTTAATTATTTCAACATTATGTAATAATTTCATAAATACTTTATTAAGCTTTATAATAATTATGACATTTTTCAAGCTAAAAATCTATAATCATATTTTTGCATAACTGCTAATTTGAGTCTAATAGAAAGACTATATAAGGAGGGTTAATAGTTACTAGAGAAAAGACTTTTTCTTTTAAGAAAATTGTACAAGTATAATACTTTCTTTGGGTAGTGATCATACTACAAAATAAAGGATTCTCTTACTTAACCATACATATTTAGATTTTGTTTTTCTTGTAATACATATAAAAAAGATAATTGATGTACTTTTGTCCATTTGTGACTATTAATCTGTTCATATTTTAATGCTAATAACATTGTACTAAATTGAAAGACAAAGGTAAAACTCTCTCAAGTCATTATAGTAGTTTTCTAAATCACTAATTTACTCTATTTCTAAAAACCAACTATTTAAGTTTCTTAAATGTTGGTTTATACTTAACAACAAACATTCTCAAACCATCAAACTGATAAAAGAAAAGGCCTTTGGCCTTATTAACATAGCCAATACAAAGAAAATTACTAACAAACAAATCATTTACATTATCAATATAGTTATTATTCCAAGTTTAAAATACAAACTTTATAACATAATCCTTTTTTGCACTGTATGCAACCAAATTTTATCCAAATACCTTACTGTAGCTAAACACAAATCTTATCTTTTTAGATTTATACCAAATAGTACAATGCTTAATCCATTTCTATACAATATATATAATATCTAGGATATCCAATTTTAACACTACATCTCTAACTATTTTCAATGAATTAATAATTCTAATCTTCTTTGTATTACAACTCGAATTAGACTTCAACAATTACAAAACAATCTATGGTCCTCTACTAGTATATTACATCATCTCAAACCTACTATAGATAGTCCTAACAGACATTTATTAAATTTTAAAATTACTCAACTTTTCTCTCATCTTGAGTTAATCATCTTAGTTAATTCCAACTTGACTTGGCCTCATATCAATTAGTAATAGTGGCTAATCATTAAAATCTATCCTATCACAGCATCCAAATTATTTAACTTTTAAAAAGCAATTTAGACAATCAAACATTATATATCTTGAACAACTCACACTGCAGATAACAGCACTTTACTTAGCTGAAAACATCTTTCATCAAAATTATTATACTTACTTAAAGGCAAAAAGCCTTTCTGGTTCTCTTACTTAGAAGATACAATCTTAGTACACTCTTATTATTGAAATATTCTACTACATTACCAATTACCAGATCACAACCTTTATGCTTATTATACTATTAATATATCCAAAAAACTTACTAAATCCAAACTCTGACTACTTTCATACTACAATAATGAAATTATTATTAAAAAAATACAAAAATATTTTTTTATCTTCTAACCACTACTCTATTACTTATTGGACCTCTAATATAGACTTAAACTACACAAGATTTTATCTTTTACCCCTTGTTAGCTACAAACAATATACAGAATATCATCTTAATTCTCATAGAATTAACCAAACCTATACTGTTAAAGTTTCTGCAAGTATTTTTGCACAATTTCTTAACAAAACTAACTCAAAACATCAACTTAACCTCAATGCCAACTACTTTGCTCTATGGCTATCAAACATCCAACTTACATTCTCCACTATCTAATATTCTTATTATCAACTCTATCACCTTTAAAATCTTTTTTTCAAGTAAATCTACTAACAAACTTATATCTATCTCATATCACAACCTCTCTTATTAGCAACTATCTTTTTATACTGACAGATCTGTAATTGACATTTGTACTAACAATACACAATTGGTATTGTTGGATTCAAATTGATAATAACAATCAAATTGTTAATTCTTTCTCTACTAAAATTAAATTCTGACTTTCATCTTATAAAGAAAACTCTTCTCAATCATTACTACAATCTCAACTGTTTCTCGAAACTGTATTATTAATATCTTTATAGACTCTTAATCAGTAATCTCTAAATTTAATAATCTTTAACTTAAATCAATCCATTATAACAAATTACTCAATTTAATTCATGCCCAATTTGAAACATTCTTCTAAACATTATTAAAACATACAAATTACAAATTAACTTTCACAAAGTACAAGCTCATTCAGATAACTATCTCAATGAGCAAGCAGATTCATTTGCTAAACAACACCTACTGTTACTACTTCTTTTATTTACTACACAAATCTCTACAATGCTTATCATATTCTTTAATGAGAATACCATTATATAGAACTTTCTACAAGGCATTTTATTAAACAAATCTGTAAAGCTCACATCTTAGCTATATAGGCATCACAAAAATGAAACAGTAAGTGGTCATACTTTAACCAAGACATTGATTAGAGATTCAGTTTACTTTATTTCAATTACAATCAAAAACCCTTATACAATATTACTAACTTTAGACTTAATCAACTAAAATCTTTTAAACCAAAAATCCTTCTTAATGAATTGCCAACATACTCATTATATTATACTATTTATCTAAGCCAATATCTAGACACTACTTGCTTCTTTTGTAATTTATCTAATTCTCATTCCTACTAATATACTTGTACTAATTCATCCTTATTCAATTAAATTATTTAAACCTCTACTAACCAAATTATCTCTAATAATTTGCCTGATTTTGATACCTACTATAAATATAATTTAATTAATAAAATTCTTCTTTACTCAGCTCTTAACTCTTTATATATGTAACCTAATACTTATTATCTCAATCTTGTTAATAAAAAGCATAACCTATGAATTTTTTATTAGAGTTAGAAATGACTAAAGCATTCTTAAAACTGCCAAACTTTTGAATTAGGCAATCTCTAATGCTCCAAAAAAGTGAACCTAGCTTCTTGCTGCTCTGTTTTTGAAATACATTCTACATCAACTTATTGTTGATATGTTTACAAATATCAGCTTCACTAAAAATGGTTTCTATGTCAGCTTTCTGTTTCAGGCCTTCAAATTCTTATACAGCCACAAAATGTCTTCCCTTACTTGGACTATCAATAATACAACTTTGTTCCAGTTTAAAAATTTCTGATTTTATATATCTATTAAACTGTAAAACTCTAGATACTTTACTTGTACCAGAAGAAAAGCTTGTGCTACACTCTAAATTCTTTTTGCTACTAAAGCTAATCTTCTTACTCTAATTTTTTTTACAAATTTTAGTTGCTTCAACTCAGCCTTTAAAGATTTCAATTTATCTTCTGTAACCTACATCTAAGCTAGAACCATGTCTATTACCAAACCAAAATATTCTACCATCTGAGCTGGCTCCTATTGACCTTTCTCTATGGCCCTTACAAACTACAACTACTCAGGTCCACTAAAATCACTGTATCTCTGATCTTTAATAGCATTTCTCTTGATGAGTAGCCACCCAAACATCATCCTAATGGTTGCTACAAAAAATTTTCTTTGCTTTCCAAGAACCAATCATAGCTCTTATGATTTTTGAGAAGATTTATACCACTTGCAAAAGACCAAAAGTGAGAACTATATAATAATACTAGGTCTACTTTACTCTGAACTTTAGAAATCACTAAGCCTATTTATTTATCCTTATGTGATAGTAACTATCTCTTAAATTAAAAGTGATGATCTACTATTCCTGTTCAATTGATCAAAGAAACTCATCCAAGCCTTTGAACCAAAATGTTTTCTTGTGCAGCCTCTTGTTTAATTGCCTTAGGTTCACAACTAATCAGTATTTTTTGAAGCTCTTTTTTAGAATTAGAAAAACAGAACTTATTTTCAAAATAAACACTGGTTTTTCTATCTCTTGATACACTTAACATATTGCATTTGTTTTGCAAAGCTGATTTAGTTTTGACTCTAACCAATCTCTTTTCTCTTTTGTAAATTAGATCTGTCTTGAAACTGGCTAAAGAGATAATGACCTTATACCTTTTGGAAATAAGGGTATTCTTTTCTCAAACAACTTATAATCAATGCTGTTAGTTTAATAACCTGTCTTTAATAAATTAATGCTTCTTTTGCATAAATTTACCCCATAACTATCTGACTTTTTGCAGTTTCCAATTTCATCTTTGACCTTTTTAATTCTGCTTCTCTTCTCATTTCTATTCCTAACAACTTTTGTTCTGCCCTCTCTATCGCATCCTAAGTATAGTCAGCTTTTTGGCTTAAGGTCCAATTTCTGAGAGAGTAACCCCAACTTTTTATAAGAGCAGTTGGTTGCAATATGTTCTCTCTCTTCATATATATAACAAATAATATTTCTCAATCTCTCAGATTTTCTCTCAGCAGTATTATTTGCAAAGATTGATGCTGTATACCTAACAACCTTGACTATACATTAGAGGTATTTGATTACCAAGTATATGTTGAGATATCTGACTCACATAGTGCTAGTTTGGTGTATAAAAGTGAAATTATGTTATACTACTAGGATAAATTAAGAGTTTTCAGATCAGTTGAATAAACTGTATGTAATGATTCAATAAAGTTTGAGTGATAACTAGTTGTTGCACAAAGAGTGAACCAAAAATAAGTAATCTAATTTTCTTTCTTTCTTTTTTGCTAATTGCCATGCCAATACTAACTTTTCTCTAAGTGTTGCTTTTATAAGATCTTTATTGACTAAGTCTCTAAAAGCAGAAATAATATTCCAACCTTCTCTATTTGCTACCTAAAGAGTATATACGTCCAGATATAAGCTAATTTCTAGGCTTTAACTATCAGTTCTAAAGACAAAATATACAAGGCCTTATTTAACTTCTTTCTGACTTTGCACTACTTATTATACTCAAACTGGTCCCTAAACCTGTTCATCTTAACTTTAAGCCAAAATTTATCTTCTTTTCAGTTTTTCACTATATGCAAAAATCTTTTTTCTTAGTTTAACTGCTGTTTTTGCTACTAATCTCTTTGTTAAGTCTTTTGAGAACTCTGAAACAGACAACCCTTCTGCATTACAAAGTATCCTTAAGATATTCAAAGTTAATCTATTTAGATTATTCATAAACCCAGTGCTGGTTACTACTAACTCATTTTAACTATCATTGAAAAAAGCATATTGGTCCTTTCAACTAAGAATTCCTCATATAAACTCATATTAATTGTTTTATATATTTACAGTATGCATATAAACTAATATAATACTTAAGGTATTTTTTAAATATTTTATAATATTTATAATATTTATATTGATTAAGCTGGACTTTCAAGTTGAGCGACAGCAAAGCAAAAAGACAAAACAATAATACCTAGCATAACAGACTATATAACTCTTACTAATCACCTTATGACATTATGTATAACTTAGCTATTACTTACTTTATCATTTAATCATCAAAATCACTATTACTTGTACTATAGTGTTACTCAGATACCTCTGGTAGGTTGCCTTGTAACAAAAGAGCTACTTATGACTTTGTCTCAAGTAGCCTCCAAAGTAGAAACTAGGTTTAATCATTCACCATTGGTAAAACTCTAGGTTTCATCTAACAACTATATATAAAAATTTTAACTTTCAGTATAACTTTTAGCATAACTTTTAACTAGAGTTGTTGGCACAAAAATTTCTTAATAGCATGCCAATGGCATGTCATTAATATTTTTTGATGCATAGCATGCCATATAGTGAATCATTTATATAATTTTTAATGAATTTTAACTTTAAATATAAGTTTTATTTATTAAAAAAAGTTATTTTTTACTATATTATTGTTACCTATTAGTAAAAGCTAGCTTTATCTTATACTAATAATGGTATGTGCACTTATTTTATTTAATTAATTAAAAAAAAGTACTTATTACTTTTATTTGCTTCTAAATACTTATTAATGCTATATTATTATATCATAAATTATAATTAACTTTAAATTAATTTAAAAATGTTTTGTGCAGAACTATTGTTTTAACTATTTGTGCTATATAATTATTTTGTGATTCTATTACTAATATTTGTTAATTTTTTTAAACAAAGGTCAATCAATAGCATTATTCTCACATTAGGAGTAATAATTATGAATGAATAATTAGCAATCAAAATATCTTTTTTGGATATGAATTATAATTGCTTCAAACTTTTTTCGATCTAAAGATAAGTATAAAAGCACAGTCTTTTTTTTTTTTAATTTACTAACACATTAACTACTTATTGGTTTAGTGTTTCAATTTTGCAGCTGACAATATACACTATTGTATAAATTTAACAAATAATTCATATATAATAAAAAAATGCATATACTTAATATATATAAATTTTTAAATATTATTTTTGCTTAAAATTTTATCTTAAGTCCATTGATTTGTAATTTCAATTCTAGTTATATTTTCTCTTTAATTCGACTCTAGTGTTAACTCTTCAACATCAAAATTAATAAGTTTTTCTAAAAATAAATCTGACAAATTTTTAAATTCAGTATAAATTTCTTGAAACTTATTATTTTCTATTTCAATATTATTATCAATATTTGAAATTAAGGAAAATAATATATCATAATCTTCTAATTTTGTAAAATTTGTATTTTTATTAATATTATTTAATATTGAATTATTTTTAGCTTTATTTGAAATTTTTATTATTAAAGCAGATTTTATTTGTGAAATCATTTTCAATATCAAAACAGTTAATCAGTTTCTAGATTTAGTTTTTGCTAGACCCATAAATGAAAAAAGTTGTTCAACTCCAGCAGTATGAGAATCAATCACAAATACTTTTAGTACTAATTCTTTTAATGCTTTAGCTCTATATGAAAGACTTTTCCAATATAATTGTAGTTCTAATATTAAAGCTAAATTATATAGTAGTTCATTATTAAGATAATTATTTAATTAATTTGGAATTTGTTCTGCTTATTCTTTTATAAAATTTTATTTTTGAGTGAATGTTAAAGTATAAATTAATATATCATTATAAGATAACTTTTTAGATATAGCTATTTTGTAAAATTTTAAGTATAAAAAAAAATCTAAATAATATATTGGTTCATCAAACTCCTTTGCTCTAAAATTTATAATATTTTTTGTATGTTCAATAAATTCTTGTTAAATATCATTATATTTACTTATTTTTTAACTTTTTATAAATTTTAAATAATTCTGCAAAAATGTTTCCAACTGTTGTATTATGTGATTTAAGTTTTCTAATTATATCTACTATATATCTAAGAACTGTTATTAAGTGCTTGTTTTCTAAAAAATGATGTCAGCTTGTAATTATTTCTTTAATACTAACTAGAATAACAGGACATTCATTAGAAAATTTGTTATTATATTCAAGACAAGTTTTAAAACCTTCTTCATAATTTTAAAAAAAAAATCATCAAGTTTTATAAAATATTTGCAAACTATATATAATATTATTATCTATAGCCCATTGTTTTAATTTGTATTCCAATAAGTTGAATCTTTAAAAAAATTTACTAACATTAAATTTTTTTTAATTATATTTTTATATAACTAATATAATAAAATTCCTTTTGCAATAAGATTAAAAATATGTAAATAATATCGAATACCAACTATATGCTGATATTTTTCTGAAATATTTTTTTGAAGTCGTATCATAACTGAAGGACTATCTGTAACTAATGCAATAATTTTGTTAAAATTTAAGTTCTTATTTTTTCAATAAATTTTCAATAACTATTAACAAATTATTTTGCTATATATCAGATAAGAGAAAGTCTTCAATATTGATAACTTTATTAATATGTTCAAATTTGTTTAAAAGAAATGCATATATAGAATTTTCTAACACATCAGTCCATCCATCAAGAGAAAGAATCAAATCATTAACTTCTTCAAGATGATCAATTATTTCAGATAATATTTTTGTATATTTTGTTTACATTATTCTATATGTTAATGTATATTTTGATGATAAATTGTAATTTGAATATAATTTGTTTAAAAATAAAGCAAAAAAAGATTTTTAACAAATTGAAATACAATATTACTATAAATTAATAATCATAATAATAGTATATAAAACTTATCAATTTTATCTAATGAAATTATAGTCTTATTAAAAAAAGTCGATTAAAACAGCTTTGTATTTTTTTGAAGATATATCAAGATTTTCATTTGGGTCTGATTTAATTATGTTTGCAGAATTTTTTTTATTAATATTCTGCATATAAAGTATTTTATCTTCAGCTAATATTTTTTGACAGATATTTATTATATAATATATCATTACTTCTTTCTGTGTTTCAAATATCTTATTGCAATATAGGCACTTTGCATTATATCAATGTGATATGGTATTTTTAACTTACTTTAAATATAAAAAACTCATCTAGTGAATACCAAAATTTTTAGGTGGAGTTATAAATTCATCAATTTCTGAATTATTTTGTATACTTATAGTACTTGACAAAGTTGCATTATTATCAGAATCTACAACTTTATCAAAAACATCAACTGAAGTTATAAAATCATCATCAAAATTCATAATATCAGGTTATTTTAAAAATTAATTTTTCTTAATTGTTTATACTTAAAAAATATCAATTTAATAACAAATTAAATGGTTTTATATAACTTTTAACAATTAAAAAAAGACAGGTAAGATTGAGAATTTTGTATTTATATATAAAATACAAATATTACTAATATTAAAGACTATTAGTAATACTATCGATTAAATAATAAAATAATTGAAACAAACTAAAGTCTAGTTATTAAAAGTTATGACAAAAATAATTAGTCTAAAATGATAAAACTTTCTAAATTAGACTACAAATAAGTTTGTTTGACAAGTTAATAAATCAAAAAGCAGCTTAAATATTAATATATTAATGCAGTAATAATTATATATACCTCTTGATATCTTGATATGTACTAACAAAAAATTTGAAATATGCACCTTCTAGATTAATATAGTATTGTTAAAAGAGAATAGATAATTAAAATATGTATAAAAATGTGAAACCTGCATAACTACATTATTGTCAATTAAATTAGATACTGTGTGGGTTTCACTCTGTTATATTAAATATTAATGAATTACTAGTTCTAGACAATCAAGAACTAATAATTCATTAAAGTTTGATATAACAGAGTGAAACTAGAGATGGGCAACTGAAGTACGTATCATGCTATGCATATGTACAATTATGTATGCATATACGATAATGCACATCTAAGTATTTGTTTGTATTTAAATCGTAAGTTATTGTCATAAAGTAAAAATAAAATTTTCTGAATTATGCTTTCAGAATGCTTAAACGATATACATGGCTTATTGATCAAAGATCATAATGATGGCAATGCGAAATTGTCTGTAGAAACCCAAGGTGTGTTATAAAGCTTAGAATAGTTAAGTCTCTCTATTGGTCTTTTAAGGTTATTTAAAAAATGTAGCTTGGCCAATTAATCAGATAAATAAACTACTCAGCAATTTGTTATTTAATCCAATGTGGTTACGTATAATTTATTATTTATTATCAAATATATTATTATTAATTAGAAGATTTATACAATCATAGTGACGCTGAAACTTTTTTTTAATGCTATAACACTCAAGAAATTAAAAATTTTGAGAAAATGTATGTATTAAGACTAAACTTTATTGTGATTGGCTCGCCATCTTTGCGCCACACCTAAATTGGCATGCCATGGCACGCCCAATTTTGAATGACCATTGGCGACGCCATCTACCTTGCGCCAACAACCCTACTTTCGACACGCCAAAATACTTTCGGAGCCATCCTTAAGCAATACAATGCAATGCAATAAGTTTAATTTATATTTCCATTCCGCTTGTGCTACAGAAGAGAGCTTACTACGTAAAGATCCCATTGCCGCTAACTGCATAACTATATAATACTTAGAAATGTCATCTTTTGATATTCCATAGCATTTTAAAAAGTGGGATTTTTATTGCCATTATTACAGTATGCTTTTAACTTTAGTATTAAAAAATAATTCGTTAAAATAAATATAAATCATTGATTTCAAACATGTGAAAATCCATTTATCTCTTTAATGAATTCTTCATAATTCACATTTGACTTATGAAGCAATTTAAGTGCAAACGGTATTCTAGCACGTTGGTTTTGATTAGTTCATTAAGCAGAATATACTGTTGCGAATCTACCTTTTCCTAAATATTTTAGATTTTCAAATTCATTATAAGGAATTCAAGATAATGGGTATTCGCTTTCCGTTAGTATCTTTTTTAAATTATCATCAATATCTAGATTTTCATATATTCGTCTGTTCGTTACTAATGAAGTTAAATTATTATTACTATATTTGAATCATTTGACAATAAATAGAATCAATAATGATTAATTACTTGATATTTGTTTCCATTCTCTAGTAATTTATTTCGATTAAGTTTGATGAAAAAGAAAATGTATAATTTTATAATGCAGTATAAAAATAGCTTACATCTAATACCATTCGTTGGCTTTTTGTAAGTCTCTTTTTACGCCAATTCCATTCCTATAAAAAGCCCAACATCATGTATTCCATTAAAGTTTCCCATCTCTGCTGACTTTTGATAATAAAAGAATGCTTTATGTTTATCCCTTCAACACCAATTCCTACATGATAACAATATCCTATCCAACTTCAAACACCATCAATAAATCCCATTTATGCATATTTTTGATAATTAATAACTACCTTTTGTTCATCCTTTTGAACTCCAATTCCATGATGATAACAATATCAAACATTATGTATCCACACGCGTCCCCCACTTCTGCTGATTTTTGAAAATAAATGAATGCTTTATTGTCATCCAAGTCCATTAAGGTAACAGTCACCAAGATTGTTTATTACTTTA